ACCGATCAAAACAGGAATAGAATGTTTGGTTCGACTTTTGATTTATATTCTTTTAATATATCAATTTTTGGTTCGGTTTGGATAACATCACTCGGTTAATCGAACCGAACCGAAACGAAAATCGATATTATACATATGTTATAAAGGTCTAATACAGTTGTTGTTATGTGGCAATTAACAACGATAATTCAATGAAAAACACGCTGGGTATTTATAAGAGAGAGATACAGAACCTGATAATTGAAAAGAAAAATTTATTGAATCTTATTGTATATTTTTTTTTTATTGTCCCTCCCCCTTGGAGAGCCTATCTTTTTCTTATATATTAATTTACAACATTTATCGGCAATATAATCATTACATGAGAATAGTCAACGGCGGCTAATTGTCATTTATCTTGGTAGCGTGCCACTTGGTCAGGTGTAATGATGATTTGTGCTGAGTCGGCGCCGCCTTATGGTGTCGGTGTGGCAAGTCATAGATATCGGTTTAATAAGCCATAACCGATATGTCCTAACCGACATGTCGTACCCGACATGTCACAACCGATATGAGATGTCGGTTAGTTGATTAAGATGTCGGTTCTTCATCCATTTTCTCCCGATATGTGACTGCTTTGGGATCCTTGAAGATGTTCTCCTTTTGAATGAATATAATCCTCCACTTAATGAGCGTAAAAGCTTGTTAAGTATCACTAACTTGGTTTACCAAAAACCATATCAACAAGGTGGCCCCCAGCATTAATGGATGTCTTGAAAAAAGACCGGCAGTGATGCTGAAAATTCATCAGGAAACAATTAACTTTGAGCGAGTAGAACATGTCGGTTTTTGCAGTTGCCCTTCCAATGTCTTCGTACTTGTCAAAAATGGTGCTAAAAGCTGAAACGGCGCAATTTATTACAATTAATTGCAATGTTCGTTGATAGGGGCAACAGTTACTTTTGATAGGCCACGTAGCCACTGCTGAGAGGCGCGATTCTCAAAGGTTGTGTCGACTCGCGGATTAAAAACGTTGAACCCACGCACCCCTATTTCTTCCTTCTTCCAACGGTCACTGTTAAATTTAGGGTCTAGTATAAATAGAAAATCTTCTGTCGAGATTTACTTTATCTTCATTTTCTATCTGCAATCGACTTCCTTATTTTCTTGCAAATTAATCGTCTCACAACTGTACTCAAAGCATCCCAGATCTGTGAACTTCTCTTGTGGTAAGAACTGTTTCTTTGCTTTATTCATCTTTTTTGGCATATTTTCTTCACATCATGAGTGTATCGTGGGCATCTTCTGGTGACGACGAGTCCATTCCAGGGAATTTGAATTATTGTCGGAATACAATCGGTGGGATCCAGTGTTTGTCGAACGCCTAAGTATTCGATTGAACGACACAGAAGGGGATAAAAGGGTAGAGGAGAACGCTGTCGACGATGACTCGAGATTTTGGAGACGGCCTATTAGAAGATGGCCAGATCTCGAGATGACACCCCATGGTGAACCGAGCATACTAACAGACACCGACGTTGTTATGTTGCGGAGTGAAATTCGAGTCCCCGTGTCGGTACACCTATTTGCGCCATATCCTGGAGAAAGGATTACATGTCCACCACCAGGGTGCATTGGTGTATTTGCTGAAAGTTTAAGGTCGGGATTACGTTTCCTCTGCCGCGTATAATCACTAAATACTTACGGAATTGGGAATTTCCGATATGTCAAGTTGCTCCGAATCATGGAAGCGAATTATCGGATTACTTGTGCTTTTTGCTGAAAAGAAATGGAATTTACCGTCGGCAAGGGATATGAGAAGTATGTTTACATTTCGGAAGAGTCCGGATAGACAAGTATCGGATCCGCTTCTTACTTTTTCGATTGTCGGCAAACCTCAGTCAAGGGTCAAAGTTGGCGAGTTGATAACGGAAGTTCCCGACACATTACATGGTTTTCAAGAAGAATGGTTGTGGGTCGGTGGGGACTGGCAGTGCACTGACTTCGCCAACGATCTTCTTGCCGATGGGATGAGTATCCCGATGGCTATTAAATCTGGTTATTGTAAGTTGCTTATCTGTTTCTTCACTTCAAGTATTAATGTCTTGTTTTTTGTTTTCGCTAACAGGTGGACTTTTGTGACATTGTAGCCAAACCGGAAGGAAAGAAAGAACCCAAATTTGAAGGAGTGTTGTATAACCGGGTTGACAAGCTATTTGAACTGTCCGCGAACAAGCGAAGGTATCAGCGGCTTGTGAAGGATTCTCGCTTGGAGTTAGCTGGCTTATCTCCTGGGATTTTAGACTCGTCATTTCAACCAAGTAAGTATCTTACTTGGTTTGTTCTGTTCTTCATATTAATGATGTCGGTCTAACTTGAGATATCATATGACAGTTTATTATCCATTGTTGGGGTACTTCGGTTTCGGAGATCCTGTTGAAACGGAAGAACATCGGAGGCGCAACCCAAATTCGGATTTAAAAAACAAGGTCGGGAAGAACAAAAATCTCCGATCTACCGAGATGGCTGGATGCATGAATCTCCTCAAGGCATGGAAAAAGAACCCCAATCGGTCTCAAAGTGCCGACGGTGAGCCATCGTCAACAAGGCTGGAACCTACTCCGGCTATTGTGAATGAGCCATTGGTTACCGACGTCCCACCACTCGAGGTGGCACCATTGCAACAAATAATGACACTGGTTGGTGAACCTACTATTGAGACCGAAGTCTCTCAAGAAGTACCGGAGGAGCCCAACGTAACGGTGGTTCATCGCCGCAAAAGATCCAGTGTGTCTCACGTGGCTGAAAGAATGAAGAAGAAGCAGGATACTGGTGCCGGCAAGGACAAAGAGGAGGAGCCCGAAATCGTCTTGAAGGACTCTTTCCTTAGGGTAAACGAGAAAAAAACTGCTGAGCTAAAGTTGCCGGAGGATGTATTTAATCCTTGGTTCGCCATGTTTCA